AGATTTGTCACTTATTGATGTAAGTCTAATCAATTATTTATTATAAATGAATATTATACAAAAATTATTATAAATTAGGAAAAGAAGGTTGAACAAAATACATTTTTCTATTAATTTTTTTTGTTATTTTTGTAGGCGTTAGATGACACATTCGCTACAATTTAAATGTTTATTGTATTGACAATTTGTCAGAATGTATTAACACTAAATGTACCATGATCAGTTAAATTATCAATTTTAAAATTCATCGTTCACTTAATTTTATATCAGTTCTTATATTGTCCAATTAATCAGTTTTTCAATTTTTGTCTTTCCTTTTGTTTCTGTCTTCATCAAGAAAGTTATAGTGTTTCACTTGATTACCTTTATTTTACAACCTGTTATTTGACCGTTACAGTAGGAATAGGGATATATAAAGTGCCAATACATTTAGTGTTAAATAATTGTTATTATATATTGTATATATATCTTTTTATAGTATTTATAATTATGTACTTTTTCTGTTGCAGACATTTTTTAATTTACAATATTCGTTACACAAACTTTCCATTGCTGTTTGAGTGAAGCATTACTTTAGAAGTTAGGAGTAAGAAAATGGTCATGGAGGCATCCCCTTCTCCACAAAATGTCGGTCGTGAATTTGTCCGACAATATTACACTTTACTTAATCAGGCTCCAGCACACCTCCATAGGTACTTTCTTGTATTATTTCTTATATTAATATATTAATTTCCACCAATATCATGATAGTACCATCTTGTTTACATTATACATTGATTTAGGTTTTACAATCAGCATTCTTCCTTCGTGCATGGCGGACTCGATTCCAATAGAGAATCAACTCCAGCAATCGGTCAAAAGCAAATACATCAGAAAATTCAGCAACTAAACTTTAGGGACTGTCACGCTAAAATAAGTCAGGTTGATTCACAGCTGACTCTTGAAAATGGTGTTGTTGTACAAGTGAGTGATAATTATACATGAGTGTAATGATATCATTATAAAAATTATTACAATTTTTGGAACAAACGTATGAATGAGAAATCTATTTATTTAAACATTTTTAATATTAATATATAGGTTAGGAATGTACTTTTTCAAGATTAATAGGGCAATATCTTCCAAGTTACAAAAACTACCAGGATATTTGATTCTAGATTGTTTATCCGCTATTCTGTTTTAATTCCATTTCTCTTTCAGAGTATGTTGTATTCTAATTGTGGCAAATTGTTGTTGCTTTATTATATTCCACCTGAATATGTTATTATTTGAATAAATATAAAACAAATAATTATTACCTATTAAAATAATAACAATATTATTGTTTATAGTGATGTACGAAGTAAAGTAAATATACCTAAAATATGTTAGATGTGATAACTATAAAAGAAATGATAAATATTTATTAACATATTGGTAATCTACTATCGAACGCTTATGATTTGAAACAAATATTAAATACACTTGTCAATCCTTTATTAACTTACTCAGCTTTAATATTTAGTTATTGGTCATTAGTTTTTCATTTATTTGATATTGTTAATCTCTCAAAATTAATTAAAGAATATGAACCATTTTAATCAATGATAAATATTTTCAGTATGCATATATTAAATAATGCAAAATTTGCAATTGGTTATTCATTGTATTTAATTATTTATAGGTATCTGGAGAACTCTCTAATGCGGGCCAGCCAATGCGTCGCTTCACGCAAACCTTTGTGTTGGCAATACAAGCACCAAAAACATACTATGTACATAACGATATATTCCGTTACCAAGATTTGATCTTTCCTGACGAGGAGGAAGCAGATGTAGGTGGTGTAGAAGGGGGTGTAGGTGAGTCCGGTGAGAGGGAAGGGGAGGAGGGAGGGCGTTCTGAGCCCGAGGAAGATGAACATCAAAATCAAGGGCAGCAACTTTCAGCGCCAGCCACATCTACCGAACCGCAAGTCCAGCCACCGCTTATTCCTGCACAACAACCTGTACTTCAACAACAACAGCAAATGTACTATGCGCCACCACCACAACAGTCTCACGTTAGTTTGGCGCCTTAACTCAAACACCCAAACGAAATGTTATACTAAATGGAATCACTATTTTAGGTACTTCCGGTGATGCAACAAGTTTTAAATGGTTCAGTTCATGAAGAAACTCCTCTGATCAGCCAACCACCACCACCACCACAGCAGCAGCAGCAACAACAACAGCAGCCGCCACCGCCGCCACCTGCACAGCAGCACCAGTATATTAATGAATCCTCGTCACAGACACAGTTTGTACAAGAAGCGGAGTTAGACAACTCGGCTGAGCAACAGCAACAAACCGAGAGTGAGGCACAAACTCAGTCCACTGAAAACCGTGAGCAGCCTGAGACTGAGACATTTAATACCACTACTCAGGAATCTGAACCGGAACACCAAGTATCAAATACGAATGTGACCAGTAGTGGACCAAAAACGTATGCCAATCTTGTAAAGTCCTTCCCGAGTACTACTGGTGCTACTAGTCCTCAGGCTCCCAAGTTGTCTATGTCGCCGGTATATATTTTATTTTTAATAATTTAATTACGATAATCTTGGAATCTTAATTAAGTAATTGAAATGGAGAAAAGTTTTATATATAAATTAACATTTGCAGCCTCCAATGACGAACTTGCGTTTGGATGATAGATCACCGTTGCATCCATCTAACAGTGGTCCAGTGCTTGGTGCATCGACTAATGTTTCTACGCCTCAGCAGCAGACTCATAGAGTTGGGAATCAACAGCCACAGCAACATCAACAGCAACGGGCTCCAAGAGGAGGAGGAGTACAACGAGGTAAACATGCTAATTCTATCAAGTATTGTGTTCATTTATTTTGTTAGTAGAATTACCGTTCAGATCCTAATAAGTAAAATTAATAATTCACGTGTATAAATTTATATGTATATATATAAATATTTTGTAGACGGTGATCGCCGTGGTACGAGGCAAAGTCAATACAGTGACGCACACCAACTGTTTCTTGGAAATTTGCCGCACAACGCGTCGGAGGATGATTTACGGCAAATATTCGAACCTTACGGCAGGGTAGTGGAGCTGCGAATACACAGTAAACCGAATGATAGATGCAAAGGACCGCAAGGAAATAATACAGGAAAAGTGCCTAATTACGGATTTATCACCTTCGAAGACAAACAAGTTGTTAGCATGGTGTTACAGAATCTGGTTAGTTGAAGTAGATTTTTGTGCATAAGTTTATTCTACTTTTTATTTTTATCGATACGTTTATATTATTACTTTCTTTCCGGGTTTAGCCGATTTATTATCCTGCGGAGAATGGACAAAAATTAAATGTGGAAGAGAAGAAAGTCAGGCCTAGGGGAACGATAGACGGAAGCGGTGGTCGATTAAATGCAAACGACGCTAATATGAGAGCAATGGGCGGACAACAACAGCAGCAACAACAGAGAGGCCCTGGTAAGTTTCATTTAATATTATTTTAAGTCCGAGTAAATGTTGTCAGTTTTCATAAATATTTATGATTTTTCTAATGATTCAGATGTGAGATATTTTCTGTAAATGTAATATTTGTATTTGCACATTTTTTGAGGTTATACAATAAGTTGAATGCTGACTTCACAGTATTATACATCTAATCACAAAATAATGTAATTGATACTAATATCAAAACTATAATAATTGCAAATTATTGTTTGTAATTGTTTTCGCTGGTGTTGTACTAAAGTTGTTAAATTACGATAACGAGAACATCAAAATTATTAACAAAAGATGTCGTTTTTCTCATTTTTAAAATTTGTATTCATACTTGAAATAACCTTTTCATTTGAAATTTATATTGAAAATTCTTTGTATTATCTATAAAATAATTTTAATCTTTATGATCTTTCTCTGAATTAAAAACTCTAACATTATTATAGCTTTAAGTTGTTAAAACAATAAGAACAAACATTCATCTGTCTATACTTCGTAGGTGGTCCCGGTGTAATGAGAGGTGGACAACATGGTGCGAGAGGTGGTCGCGGAGGATTTTCACGAGGTGGCGACGGAGGAAGGGGAGGTGGTGGAATGAGGCAACCTGGCAACCCAAGCAATCCAAGCTACCAGAACCGCCGCTAATATATGCAGCAACATTAAAAGGCACTCCCGACTTTCTTTCTTCTCGACCATCACCGAGTCACCGGTATATCACGACCATCCCATTTCCAAAACCACAAAATCCAAGACTATCTCGTATGCCACATGGTGTGATTAAAGGCGCTATCCTTTTACGCTTAAAACAACCATCGCTTGCATCGTTCGTCAAGCAACTGAACTATAGATGACGCAGCTCAAACTGTGTATGGACCACGAACTCGAGTAGGATCAATCGGGTCTATTGCATTTAACTATAAGTTCGTGGATAAGGGGATAAATCAACGTTCAACCTAGCTCGTCGAATATTTAAATGAGAAATGCTACGAGTTCGTCCTTCATACATCGACGTCAATCCACAAGACTTTACAATGATAGAAAGGTACATCTACATGTATGCATATAACAACGAGCGACGCATGATGATCATCCATGGCTAGAAACGTGGGCGTGTCCCGTCTCCCAGGTTTCTTCCAAGTCAACAATACCCGAGAAGCAAAAGAATTGTTGCGGAGTTCTGGTGCGAAGTGCGGGGAAGGGAACTGTGACATGATGATAGGACTAAGGGGGAAAAAATTATGAACAGTGTCGGAGGACGTACACAGATTACACACACTAGTACTTTCGTCTTTTTTTTGCGACGGGAGACGCGTCATACATGTCGCTCCTGAAATTTTCTCCATTCGCAGTTTAGGAGACACAAGCGGTGCGAATTCCGCTTTCGTATAAAATAAGTCACGAGCCAAACTAAACGAAATTAATTGCGAGAGGATACGAACCGTCTGAATTGTGAGAAATATCGTATCGCACACTTCATATGCTCTCGAGTTAATTCATTGACTGCCGATGTGAAACGTTCCACCTACGAATTTCCGTAGAGAAGTCGGCGATAATGTTTATATAGGTGGTAGAGTTTGCTCGGTGTTGGTTAAAATGAAGCAGAGAACTGCGATTGTTCTGTGTTCGCATACAAAAAGGCACAGTGTCGACTTTTCTCGCGAACCGTTTGGCCAATTATCAATCGACCGGTATCGATTGGTAATGGGACAGTTAATCTTAGACTGCAGCTGGTCTCGCCGTTTCCCGAATCGCTAACCACTTACGCTCTGTTTCTGATCTTTGTTCGATTTCCTATTTCTCGTGCATCTTCTTTAACGTATGCTCGTTTGCTTTTTCTTCTTTACGTTATATATTTATATGATTCCAATTTGCCCATTCATACTTTTTCTTTTTTTTCTCCTTCTTTTTTCCTTTCTTTTACATAGTCGAATCGATAATGATTTTTACTATGAAATTTTGGTTTTTGTATTGATACGAGTTTCTACAAAATTTGTAATGGTCTCTGGTGATCGCAGAACTCGCAGCCATTGGAAGGAAGAGGGAAAGAGGCCTAGTTCACTACAAAAAAAAATTTTTTAGCTTGAGCTATACCTATTTAATAAAGTTCACTAAAATATTATAACTTTTCCTCGGTATTAATATGACTGGCGTTATTCTTATAATTATAATATATACATATATATTATATATATATGAAAACGTAAATAGAAATTTCCAAAAGGGTAAACAAAATCAGTTAGGAGTGATAAATGTTGTACATGGAAATATGAATATTCTTTTTTTAGCTTGTACAGGGTATTTCAGAATAAGAAACGTAGGTTCGTTTAGCTGGTGGAGATTGACACAAACAAAAAGTCCCTAAAAAAGAGATCAAACTTTGTAAACACTCACTGTAAACACATATTGTAAAATAGCTTATGTTTTAAAAGTATTCTTTACCGATAAAGAACATAAAATCCATCTACAATAAGATTTTACGATTAAATAGATAAATTTTCAAGATTAAAAATGAATTTTTTAGGCACCCCATACATTATTTCTTCTCGTAGTTCCATTTAACTGGTGTTTGTCTGTATTTCTGAAACGCCCTGTTATATATATATATACATACATACATACATACATATATATATATATATATATATATATATATATATATATA